TTTTTTTTTTTTTTTGCGCGCGCGCGCGCGTGCGCGCACGCAGGAAGGTTCTGGAAGGGCCTGACAACGCCTCAGCACTGATTTTCGGATACAAGTACATAGCAGCGCGTTCGGGCGTGTTTGGATTCAATGTAGAAAAAGACAAACATCGAAAGATATTGAACTTCTTTGTTGTCACCACGTGTATCCTGTTGGGCCTTGGCTCCAGCACTCAACCAAATGTGCAAAATGAGAATGAATATCTCGCGAGAAACTGGGACTGTTTTTTTTTTTTGTACTTTGTTGTCACCACGTGTATCCCGTTGGGCCTTGGCTCCAGCACTCGCAACATGAGAATGAATCTCTTGCTAGAAACTGGGAAGATGCACAGCTGTTCTTTTTTTTCCTACTTTGTTGTCAGCACGTGTATCCCATTGGGCCTTGCGAATCAAAAAAGGATCGGAGGAGGAGAGATGGGTGTGGCAAGGAGGCGATCCCTGCCAGAGGAGGAGCAGGAGCGCGACGAGCCGGAGGAGATGGCGAGCCCTGCTAGCCCACGAGCGGGAGGAGAGGAAGAAGAAGGACGGGGAGGACGACGAGAAGGACGACAAAACAATATGGCCGTGTATCTTCCCACGTTCCAGCAGAAGATTCATTCCACTTTGCATGGGGGAGCAGGTCTCCGCCACACGCCTTGTTTTTTTTTAAGTTCCGATTTTCTATTTCAGCAACGGCCTTGATGATGAAGTCACCATCAAGGGTCATATCAAACTCACATGATGACTTTTGTGAAAAATGCATCGAACTGCGAAAATGACTACATTCAGTGCGAGGAAGTCAAAATGTGTGTAAACAGTGTGTTTGCTATTATAAGTGAAAAACACACACTCATATGAGCAGTCTACTTGCTCAACCATGAAGATGAAGCCACAAGAAAGTTCTTCTCAATAATGCATGAAACTTAGAAAGTGCATGCGCAGGTGTCGGCTCCTTGACGTAGCATCTGAACCATGCCATCATAACTCAAAAGTGTGGTGTCTTTTCTCAAACAGGAACCAACAAAAAAAAAGAAAAAAAAAAAAGAAAGAAAGAAATTCAAACTTCAGAGAACTTTTTAAAGAAGGATTTTTTTTTTTTTTTTTTTTTTTTTTTTTTTTTTTGGTGG